TCAGAGGAGTTATTTTTCACTTTACCCAAATCTTGCCTGAGGTGAGGTCCCAAACCCTGGGGGAGGGGCAGCAGTACCGGTTTGGAAGTCCACAAGGGAGGGTTTGGGATCTGGAGGCAGAGTCCGGCCTGGGATCCCAGGACACTCTGCAAAGCCATCTCTGCACAGTCCCGATGCCCTGGGCAGGCCTGTCGCGGTGTGGGGAGCGGCGTAGGCCTAGAGGAGGGCCGGGAGACCAGACAACACAGGGCTCCAGTCTTGACCTTGACATAACTAGCCGTGCAACCTCAGTCAAGGCAGGCCATCTCTCTTTGCCTGCATTTATTCCTCTGTAAATAGGGGGTAATTTGTCTCCTTCTTGGGGGTGATTTTCACGAGAGAAACTCTGCACAGTTCCCAACCCAGTATCTAGTCACAGTAGGCACTCAATAATGGACTCTGCTTAGAAAGCAGAAGGGAGAAAGCAGCAGGAAGCAGAGAAGGGGAAGGGAACTGGCAAAACTATCAGCAAAGTAAACAGAAAAATTAACCCTTTGCCCTGGTAAAATGCCTGTTTGCATGAGGGAGCCATAGCAGAAGACAGCTTTCTTCTGCTCCCACCCTGGCAGGTGTGGCTCAGTGGTTGAGCGTCATCCCATGCCCTGAGAGGTCCCGGTTCCATTCCCGGTTCCATTCCCGGTCAGGGCACATGCCCGGGTTTCAGGCTCCATCCCCATAGGGGGCATGTGGGAGGTAGCTGATTGAAGTTTGTCTCTGTCATTGGTTTCTTTCTCTCTCCCTCTCCCTTCCTCTCTCTCTAAAATCAATAAAAACATTTAAAAAAAGAAAAAGAAAGGAAGAAAGAAAGGAAGGAAGGAAGGAAGGAAGGAAGAAAGAAAGAAAGAAAGAAAGAGAGAGAGAGAGAGAGAGAGAGAGAGAGAGAGAGAGAAAGAAAGAAAGAAAGAAAGAAAGAAAGAAAGAAAGAAAGAAAGAAAGAAAGAAAGAAAGACACCGTTCCTGAAAGCAGTGGTGGTAATGCTGATAGCAATAGGAATAAGTAGCCTGATCCGTGAGAAATCTTGGAGCTGTCGTGAGAGTACTGCCAACCACCTCCCTGATGCAGAGTGTTTGAAGTGGAGGTTCTACTTTCTCCAAGGCAAACAGCATTTTCTGAGTTTGGAACTTGGAGCTGATGGTTGGGAGTGACAGGGTTATTTAAACATTTTTCTTTCCCTAGATGGAACATTCGTTCCCATCTCAACTCACAGGCTCCCGGAGAAGCATCTGGCCCTCTTGGAATTTCTCATAACAATTCCAGCTATTCCAGCTGTCACTTCCAAGCACCGCTATTTTCCTAACAAGGGTCGGAATGCCTGGGGTACTCCTTCACGCTGAGCCCACACCTCTGAGCTGAGTCAGGCCTGTGGAAAAAGTGGGGGTGGTGGAGCTGGGAACCCGCTCCAGCAGGAGCACCTCCCCTCCCGTTCCCATCCGAGGATGTGAGAATTCGGCTTTGAGCTGGCTGTGTAGGTGAGATTTTGCCTTTGAAGAACATGTCTGGTCCATTAAAAAAAGCCACGCCCTCCCCCCTTCCTCGTGCACTCTCTGACCCAGTGTAGTTTCCTTCAGCTGATCTCAACCAATAAGGTTGATTTCAAGTCTACCCATGTATTTTTAGACAAATTCTCCTCTGGATTGATTCTAGTGGCTTCGAGAAGACACGTTCTTACTAAAGCACTGTCTCTAGGCAGTGCGCATAGCGCGGATGGCACTGTGAAGTGAGGTGGGGGTGCTGCGTGGCTAAAGTTAATGCTCTTTCCTTCCCCTCTCCCTGGCAGGGTTCTAAATCTGTGTCTCCTTAGAAAGAAGACAGAGGAGGGCGTGGCCGACACTCAGGCACTCATCCGACAAGTCTTCTCTCGGAAATTTCAAACACAGCACTGCTATTTGTACCAGGCACGAGGCGCTGTGCTGGAGCTGAACGAGGCAGAGGAGACCTGTGCCTGGCCCCGCTAAGCACGCGCCTGCTGGGATGCCAGCGTCTTCAGCGTCAGCGACAGGACCCGGGGCTCCGTGGTGCTCCACGTCCCCAGGCCTGTGGGGAGTTCAGTGGCAGTCTTCTTTCTCCTGCAAACGGGAGGCCTGAGAGAACATCTGGCCCTGCTGCAGGCTCCTGACGATGACCAGGAAAGGAAGCAGGATGCAACCTACAGGTAAAAGATCCCATGGATTCATTACAAAAGTGAACAGCATTTTCCCCTGTTCTATTTCCTGCTTTTTATTCCCATCAGCCTCTCTCTGTCTCACTGTAAGTGAGAATGTCTTAAAATAGAATGTCTCTCTCTCATATCATGTTTCAATATCCCATCAAAAACACACAGGGGTATTGCATCCATTTGCTAAGGCTGTCAAAACAAAATGTCACAGACTGGGAGGCTTAAACAACAGAAATTTATTTTCTCAGTGTTTGCAGGCTGGAAGGTCAAGACCAAGGTGTAGGCAGGTTTGGCTCCTCCAGTGGCCTCTTGTCTTGGCTTGTAGATGGCCACCTTCTCGCTGCCCTCAGGGGGCCTTTTCTCTGCAAAGGTACCTTCCTGGTGTCTCTTCCTCTTCTTATAAGGACTTCGGAATTCCACCCTTATTATCTCATTTAGCTTTAACTGCCTCCTTAAAGGTCCTATCTCCAGACACAGTCACACTGGGGGTTGGGGTTCCTCATAAGCATTTTAGCGGAACACAAGACAATCCATAACAGATATTAAGCAGCAACTTCCAGAATGTACTCTCAAATAGGTGCACAGATTCCTGAACTCACACATCAACACAGCCAACCCACAGAGGACACCTGCCCGTGGGTGTGAGGGTGTCCTCGCGGAGGCCGCAGGGCACCGAGCTGGAGGCCCTCGGGATCGTGGAGACACTGCCACCCTGACAGCGCCGAGGTGTTGGCGGTGGGGACACACGGCAGGAGGTCCAGTAACTCCAAACACTGGGTGTTTGCCCTCTTCACCCCATATCCTGAATGACATTGGGATTGGGAAAGTAGGCCAGTGAAGAAACATTCCTGGAATTGGACAGAGAAGGGACAAGAAGGATCAGAGACCGGCCATTCCCATCCTTTGACCTGCCCCTTCCTCCTCCCAAGGACTCGACGTGCCTTGAACAGGTAACTAAAACCCCGAGAGAGGAGATGCTTCCCCACCAGCCTCGGGTCTGGGACCCACCAAGTCAATGCGGCCCCCTCCCTGAGGGCACCCAGCTCCGTGTGCTGGCTGCAGGATGCCCTGGGAAGGCTCTGGAGGAGAGGAAGGCAAGGCCTTGCAGAGCTCTCCAGTGGCGTGGTGACTGCACCTCGGCGTCCTGCATGGGAATCCTTGAAGCCGTGGAGGCCCTGGGAGGTGCTGCCTAGAGCTGGTTGTCAAAGACATTCTCCTGGACACACCCTGGAGGGTTGCTGCCTTGGGGAAAAGGAATCAAGTGGAAAGAAATCGAACTGTGCCCCTCCACGCCCTGCTGCAGCGGGGCCTAAGACAAGCGCCTGGCTGGCTGCGGTGCTGATGGCCAGCAGGTGGTCATTTCAGTCTGTTAAGGGCTGACATGCAGTGACTTCTGGTCATCACATGGTCTCCTGAAGGGGGAAAATGGTGAAGTCTCACAAAACATTGAGACAACTGTCTCAGGAACAATGTCTTCAACCTCCCTAAGAACCTCAGCATGACTCTGATAGCAATGCTCCCTAATCCTCCTGTTTTCTCACAGTTTCTTCTTCTCTCTCACTTCCAAAGGTCAAATCCTAATGGAGCCCCCTTGTCACTCAGCAAACGCCAAAGTCCTCATAGTGACCTGCAGAGTGCTGGGTCCCTGGTGCCGCTCTGAGCACATTGTGTACAGTTGTCGCTCTGGCCCAGCCTGGTCTAGAGCCTGTCTCCTTGCCGTCTCCGATGTCAGGTGTGCACCCTCTCAGGAACCTTCGCTCTTACCGTGTCCTCCCCCTGAAGGCTCTTCCCCCAGATATCCGCAAGGCCCCTCCCGTATTTCCTCAGGTCGCATTCAGATGTCCTCTTCTGGGCTGGGCTTCCCCAGCCCCCTGTCTGAAATTGCATGTCCATTCCTCTGCTCCCGATCTCCTTGTCCTGCTCTATTTTCCTCGCTAGGACTTCATACAATCTAGCATCTGTGTATTTTACTTATTTAATATGTGTCTTTCCCTCCACTAGAATATAAACTCCATATCTAATTGATCCCTGGCAATATCTCCATGGCCTAGAATAGTGCCTGGCAGATGGATAAATAGTTGCTGAATAAATGCATTCCATTAAGTTAAAGTTCCTTTTTCTCTGTGTCCAGAGGAGAAAACTGGCATCATGGATGGAATACATTGTGGGTTTGGATGATCTTGGCCCACCAGGGTGGACCACAACCTAACAATTTCTAGGGAAGGAGCATGGACAGACCTTGCAAAACTGGGGTTGAGTAAGAAATATAACACATTCCATTTGTCTGCATCTCAACTTGGTTTCTGTTTCCATATCTCATGTTGCTAAAATGAAAACTCATCCTGTCTTTTCCCTGAGATTGTAAACCACACCAAGTTTCAGGGGATTAATGTTACACCATTATGCCACTGGGTGGACAGTATCCAGCCTAGACTGTCACCTGCTCATAGAAAGACCTCCTAGAATATATGGCATCTCAGCTGGGCCTTTGTTCTCAATCCACACAAGTATCTGAAGTGAAATCCTTTGTTCCCCCCTTGCAGTCCCGAGTTCTGGTGGCTTTGTCACTTCCACAGAACTCAAAGACACATACAATGTTGCTACCTCTGCTTCCTGCTGGAGCTCAGACATTTCTAAGAGATGACAAAGCCCAGGCTATACCTACTCACAGCCAGCTGCTCCCTCCCCAGGCCCTGCCTGGGACTCAGAGGGCCAGACCCCACCCAGCTTTCTGAGATCTACCAAGGTCTAGTCATCTCATAACTTCTTCTCTATTAAACAGAGTTTTGTCTGGCTGGGAGCAGAAGGAGAAGTCAGAGAGATTTGAGAAATAAGGAGCATTCCAAGTGCAGTTGTTGGTTTTGAAGATGAAAGAGCTGTGTGAGAAGACTCGTCCTCCAGCTGAAAGGACCAGGATTCTGCCAATAACTTGAATAAGTTCAAAAGCAGATTCTTCCCAGCGTTCTGGACAAGAGCCCAGCCTGACAAACCCTTGGTTTCAGCTGTGAGATTTTGAGCAGAGGACCCAGATGAGCCCACCCAGTCTTCTGACCTACAGAACTGTGAGCTAATAAATGACTGTTGTTTTAAGCCACTAAGTCTGTGGTAATTTGTTATGCAACAACAGAAAATGAATGTGGGGACAAAAGTAAAAGTGCCTGACACTGAGAAAGCACTTAATACATTTTATGTAATTTCCTCTCCCTTTGGTTCCTATGTTTTATAGATATACCGTGGCACCCCGCATGCTTTCTACCTTTCCCAGCCTTTCTTGCAGTTAAATTGAGGCCAGAACACTAATTTTGGCCAATAGACCACAAATGGAAGTGATATGTGTCATTTCTGAGCTGAGGCAATTGTAAACTGGGACACTTCATCCGCCTGTCTCTTCCCTTGCAGCTGCACGAGACTGAGTTCCATCCACAGGCCCTGAATGCCTGTGTGGATCCAAGTGCCCTGCCAACCTGCATTTCTCATGTTATAGATTTATCTCTGTTGCAGTGAGTCTTCACCTAACTGGTATACACGCACTCACCCCAAGGACATTGCTAGCAAAGCTTACAAAACAAAGTAGAGAATTCTTTATGTTTTAGTTCCTTTAAATATCATCTTCTCTAGTGTAGTTAATTTTTTTGTTGTAAGTCACTAGTTATTGACAAAGAGGTCAGAGAAAAGCATTTGGAAGCATTGCCAATAGAAAAATAAAATAGAGCCATCACTAAACTAAATCATCGGGGGAAATATTTGATTAATAATGTCTCCATAGATGTTTTCCTACAGCCCTGAATTTCTTCCAAAGAGTCAGGCCCCTATGTAGAAACTGTGGCATTTCTGGCCTATCAACAGTGTTTGATGGCCAGATCCTTGGCCTGAGTACATACTGCCCCACAGTAACACGTGCTGTTTACATCCTCTCCCCAAGTGTTTGGTTGTCTCTGTCTCCACTCCTCTCCCATGCCATTCTGAGCTCCACACAGGCAGTGACCTTCTAGGAGGTCAAACAGGTCAATCCACTTCCTGCTTAAAAGCTTTGGGAAAAGTCCAAACTCCTGTCCACAGCACAGAAGGATTTGTACATCTTGCTTGCTCACTCCCCGACCTCATCTCAGGCACAGTTCACGTTGGCTTGTCTTCCTAAAGCTACTTTGGCCTTTTTCTATTCCTCATTTACACCTCAGAATGTGCATGTAATTCCCTTTGCCTCGAGTCCTTGGGCCTCCCTTTCCCGTGGCTGGTTCTGCCTAACTCCTCATTTAGGCACTCAAAGTGGTACCGTTCCTCGGTTTAAATGGTACCACTTTTGAGAGCTTTTCCCTCTCTATCCTGTCGCTATCCCTTGCTGAGCCCTGCATTCTCAGTATGAACCCTAATCTGTTTCTAGACATTTTGACAATTTATAATTACTTTGCTTGTTTATGTGTTTGTTTTTTTTCTTTTCCCATTAGAATGTAAGCTCGATGAGAGTTTCAGGATGCTGAAGGTTCTGAGATTTTACTTACGAGCTAATAAGCTGGCCTGTCACAGTTAAATGAATGCTGGCAGAAGACACAAGACTCCTGGATCAGAGCCAAAGGACTTTACAGCACAGGAAGTGGCTTATGCATCAGTTCTCCTTGCTTCCAAGTGCAGATGGAGATGTCCAGATGGATGCTGCACATGAAGGAGGTTGGCACTGCAGCTGAGGAACCCTGTGCTAGGGAATCCCAATTGTTTCCAGTGGGATGCAAGTGAACCTGATCTTGGCCTTGGAGGGAGTCTTCTGTCTGACACTATAAACCAACTACCATTTTCTCTGGAAGAGGATTCTCTTTCTATCTTCCAGACTATTTGCTAAATAAGCATCCTTGAAAAGATAATGCCTGTACTAACAAGAGGTACAGAAATGTGAGAGACCCTAGAGAACTATCTCCTGACAGAGGGCAGAGATCACGACTATGCTGTTCGCTGCTCCTTCCCCTCAGATCAGTCAGCATTCTCAGTTATAAGCCACAGAAACTGAACCACTGGGGCTGCATCAGCCAAGCAGAATTAGTTCCTTTTTCAGAAGCAGAAAGTATTATATAGGCTAGCAGTGGGCCTATGAAAATGCATCTTTTTTATTGATTTCTTCATCTTGAAATTCCATTCTGATTTGCCTTGGCTTGGTTTTGCTGGAAGAATTAGATAAAGTACTTTTTAAACTAAAAATAGACGTGATGGAACAAGGTTGTCTCTGTGAGATACTTGAGTACTGTAGTAGGAAATCACATTTTTATTTTTTGTGAATCTGAGGATATTTTTCTATCTAGAGTGGAAGGGAAGGAGGGAGAGAGAAAAACACTGATGTGAGAGAGACACATTGATTCGTTGCCTCCCACATGATCCCAACTGGCGCCAGGGATTGAACCTGTCATCGAGGCATGTGCCCTTGACTAGAAATCTAACCGGAGACCCTTTGGTCTGTGGGCCAATGCTCTAACCTCTGAGCCAAAACAGCCAGGGTGGAAATCACATTTAAAAGACAACTCCTATTTCAGAAACTCCAAGGTTAAGACAGATACTATATAGGAGGGAGAAAGAGATCCACCAAACAAAATAACTGGGGGAGTGGCAACAAGAATAAATGGTGTTTATCTCTGCTTTATTTCAATATTCAGGACCTGAGGTATCTTCTTGGGCAGGTCATCAAACATAAAGCCAAAGTCTGACTACAAAAAATTTACCCAGTCCCCCATGTCTTACATCCAACCAATCACAAAGTATTGTCAAATGTTCTCTGCAAGTTTTCCACAAAGCTGTCCCCTTACGCCCACCACTTCGGTGCCCACCCGAGTTCAGACCACCATTGTCTCCCTCTTGGATTGTATTCGCCTTGTAGTAGATTTTCTGCCTTCAATTGTTCACACTTAATCATTGGAGTTCTTTCTAAATGCGATTCTGATCTTGTCACTCCTCTTTTTAAAACTTTTCAGTGATTTCCTATTTTTCTTAGGATAAAGCTCTAACTTAAAGTGGCTATGAGACCCTCCCTTTTTTGGTGATGTCTACCTCTCCCACCTCATTTTGATGGTCTCTTCCCCTTATCCTCCTTATTTCAGCCACAATAATAGTGTTTTCCTATGCAAGAATTCCTTCTCACCGCAGGTCGACGCTCTAACTGCTGAGCCAAACCGGCCAGGGCAAAAAGATATATATTATTTTAAAGAACTTGTTACTTTTTTTTACCTTTCTTGCTGTTCTTTGGAAGTTAGTTTAGGTTGAGACCCCAACTGGCAATTCTTCTTAGAAATATGCTTGAGAAACACATCTACTTCTAGTCACCCAGAAGACCTGGGGGAGGGGACTGGAGGGCAGCAGGAGAAAACAATAGTTTGGACTGAATCCATGCTAAATCTTTTTAATCAAGTCAGCTTCTGACTCAGCACCCCAGCAGGAGGCATCACTCTTATTCTGAACTCTGTGACAGTGTTTTCACTGATAGGACCTGTTATTATTCAACTTAAGGTTTTATTATTTTTATTTTTAAATTTTTTTATGGAACTCTGTTTCTAGGACAAATTATATTTATTTACTTATTTAAATCATTTTTTATTTTTTAACCACAGTTGACATACAATATTATTTTAGTTGCAGGTGTACACCCCAGCGATTAGATATTATATCACTCACTAAGTGACCATCCTGGTAAGTTTCGTGCCCATCTGACACCATACATAGTTATTAAAATATTATCGCTATACTTTACATCTCTATCACTATTCTGTAACTATGGATTTGTACTTTTTAATCCCTTCACCTTTTTTCACCCATCCCCCCAACCTTTCTCTTATCTGGAAACCACCGATATGTTCTCTGTATCTATTGAGTCTGTTTCTGTTCTGTTTATTTGTTTATTTTATTTCTGAGATTCAATTTTTATAATGTATTTATTGCCCTTTTGTTACCAGTGGGGGTGGTCTCTGTGTCCCTACTTGCTTCTGGTGGAAGTGGAGCTCTTGGGGGGCTGCAAGAGTAATCCTGAGGCCCCATGGCAGGATGAGATATCATGAAAAGCTTTATTGATGATGTAACATTAAGGGGCTCCAAACTCCCATCTCCCTTCATTCCACCATAGAAAAAGTCCCATTTTGTCTTCAGCAGGGCTAAGATCAAAGCCACTGCCCAGAGTCTTCACTCCATATTCCAGTCCAGTCCAATATCTGGCTAGTTTAGCTTGTGTTCCCAGCTGCAATCCATTGCAAGTGAGGTCTGCGTGGCCAGGGGTTAGCATGGGTCCTGGAGCAAGTAAGAAACAGGAGTATAAGCAGCAAGAGAAAGAGAGAAAATTCCTTTGTCTCTGGGAATTTTTAACTAGAAATTTAGCCAATTAATGTTTCAGAATTCTGTGGGCTTGCAAGTGGCTCCATCTCTTTTGCCAACTATCTTTTTCCCAAGTCAGAGTGACAAGAAAGTCCCTCCCCTACATCATCCCGACTTCACTGCCCATGTGGCCATCTTCCCCTTCCGCCAGTGACTTCCAGGGAATGGGCCAGTGGTTCCCTGGGGAGTGTAAAATTGAAGCTTCCCAGACGACCATGCTTATAATGTCTGACGTCCTCTTTGCTTTCTTCCTGTTATTAATATTAATAAAGTACCTAGTTATGATTATAATTTTATCTTTTTTATCTTCACCATCTGGCAATGAATCACTCACTATCCCTAGCACTTCTCGTCTTGTCTTCTTTGCATTTGGTCCTGCCATTTAATTTTTCATAGGTTTATATCTGGCCTCTTTATTAGGTTCCCACAGAGTCTGGCACATTTTAAGCACAATAAACAGCTCCCACAAAGTAGTTTTGCTCCTAGAAACCCTACCCAAAAGCAGATAGGAAAGACTTTGAACACCCCAGGGCAGGATCGCAAAGTTACAAGCAGGAGCGCACCACTGTCTGGAGGGACAAGCGTTGCCTGAATGCCTCCCCACTGGCCCCGGTTTCTGCCCCCCGCCCCAGTGCCCTGACACTGGGAGGGCCACCGCGCTCGAATCTTGGTCTTTGGATGTGTCCAACCCCAAACCTAAGACTTGCTTAACCGTTAGAGTGAGGAATGGATGATTCACAAGCTCTGTCCCGCTCTCTCTCTTTTATCTGTGAGTCTATGAATCATTTTCTCTACCTTCAGTCAAGTTACAAAAAGGAGAAACTTCAGCTTGAAGGACTTCAGTCAGAGCAGAGTCTGTCCTGCCAGTTCGAGATACCCGCCTGCACGACAGGCCCAAAGCAACGCCAGGAGTCTCTTTCTAAGGAGGTCCTTAGAGGAGAGGCAACCGCTCTGCTGGCTGGCACAATTCCTGCGTGCACCAGCTTCTCCATTCCTCCCTCATGGCACATGGCTCGGGTAGACTTAGAGCCACATTATTCAGAGAAAAAGCATCAATCCTCTTCCCCAATATTTCTTCAATATACAGTCTTGAAAAAAAAAGTCTCTAAAACTTTCATAATTCTCAAGGAAACTCAGGGAATAAACCTGGCTAGGCCTATTTTGGTTTCAACCCACCTCCCTTCCAAAGTCCTTCTCATTTTATTGGTATTTCCTAGAGGCCCAGAAGCCTGGAGACATCAAGGCCTCATGCTGACTGTGGGCAGCGCACCGCTCTCCCCTCTGGAGGCCTGATGCTCGGAGCCTATTTCTCCCAGTGGGGGGTCAAGTTACAAGAATTCTAAGATGTCACCCAGATTCCTGCTCCGGGTGTTCCCACCCCGTGCAATCCCCTACCCTGAGTGTAGGCAGGGCCTGTGAATGTGATGATAGCCACATTCTGCTAGGTTACATTGCATTGGCAAAGTGATGGGAAATTTGGTTACATTAAATAAATTTCTTTCCCAGCAGACTAACAAGAGATTTGAAGGCAGGGCCATTCTCCTGCTAGTGTGAAGTGTCCAAGTTGTGGAGGGTCCATGGTAGGACCTGAGGGTGACCTCTAGAAGCTGAGAGTGATCCCCACTGACAGCCTGGAAGAGGACCCTGCGGCTGGAAGAGATCACAGCCCATGTGACACCTGCTTTTCATCCGGGGGAGACCCTGAGCACAGGACCAGCTAAGCCATGTCCACACTCCTGACCCATGGACACTGTGGGATAAAAACTTTGTTTTAAGCCACTGTCTGTGGTAAGTTGTTACTGAACCCTAGAAAATAGGTAGACCCCACTTGCTCTTCATCTCAGCTCTTGGCCTGTTGGGAGGAGGAAAGTGCCAAACAGCCTCAGAGATGGATACCTGAGCAGTGATTTCCCCCCAGGACACCTGCTTCTGAACAAGGACATGCCGTCAGTCTTCTCCCTTTTGCACCACCACCTTCCTTCCAAACCTAAAGCTTTCAGTGGCATCACCATGAGCCAGGAGTTCTGGGCCCCTCACAACAGTCTTGCCCCTGGGTGCACGGTTTCCTGAAACGTACGCCTATAGGTCACTCCTTCACCTAAGGTCGTAACACCCACAGAAGGAGCATGGAGCGTGGAACCCAGGTTTTCCCAGCCCTGAATTCTATTCTCCGCTCTGTACACCGTGGGATTGCAGACATTTCCAAAGGCTTGAGGTGGATATTTGAAAAGAGTGATTCCCATAATTACAAACTAGAACCCCTAGACTGAGAGAACTTAACTTGCCTGGGGGCGTGGGGCTTTGGAAGGAGTGAATGTACAAAGTGAGTTTCTGCTTCTTCTGTGGTCCTTACCTGACATCATTCCTCCCCAGAACAACACACACGCACACACATTGTTCAGGAAATTTGCTTTGAAAAGGCCTTGAGGGTCCTCCAGCCTCTGCTTTCCTTCCTGTGGTGCCATCAGCAAGGATGAGCCTCCATAACAGTCCTGTCTCCTGGGATGCTGGGAGCCCAGACAGCAGAAAGAAGGGTGCTTCCTGGGGACCCCTTCCTTCACTAGAACCCCTTCAAAAAACAAAGAAAAGATGGGAAAGGCAAACACTGTGGGTGGGAGGGGTTAGAAAATAGTGTGTCTGCCCTAAGCGTGGATAGGGACTGACCTGAGGTGGGTAAGGAAGGAAAGTTGCTGGTAAGTGACAAGATCCAAGTACCAGTCGTCATTACATCCCTGGGTTTGGGTACATTGTGTGTACTTTTTTCTTTTTTATTAGTGATCAGGAGAAATAATATTCAAGTGGTCAGAGTTCAAAATTTGTAGATTCTTTCTGAGAAATACTGAAAACAAGTTAATGAGGCTGTAATTCCTGGAAAAATTAGCCTCCAACACTGGCTCAGGCATTATCTTCCCTCAACATGCTTGTTTGTGCTGATAATGTGGGCTAATCTTGTGTGGGATTTGGGGTTCATTTCTGCTTTTCCTGCTGCCTTTTTTTAGGTGTTTATTTTGCTTCACTTCATTTCCCCAAAGCTGAAACAGGAAATTGACTTTTGTTTCCAGTAGTCTGTCTCTCTGTTGTTACTACAGAAACAGGGGTGATGGTTCTTTTCTGTTCTGTTCCTACATGGTTTTCCCCCAACATTTTATTATGAAAATGTTCAAACATATAGCAAAGTTGAAAGAATCTTATTATAGTGGATACCTAGTGCCTAGATTCTACAACTGTCATTTGATAGCACTTGCTTTATGACATATCTGCCTATTTCCATATCTGCCCACTAATCTTCCTTGTTATTACGCTTCACTGCAAAGGAAATTACACTCATCAGTACACTATCTCCTAAATATTACATGCATTCCATTAACAAGAGTTCAATACTTTTCTGCAGTGTTTTTTTTAATGAAAAATTTGCATATGATGAAATGCATAAATATTCCATATGTGTTAGCTAGTTTTGGAACATGCATGCACCCTGTAACCCAAACCCCCAGCAACACAGAGAACTTGACCTTCATTCAGGAGGGTTGCACTGTTCCCTTCCCAGTCAATTCATGTCTCTACTCCACCCACCCCCAGAAGAAACTCTTTTCTGATATTTCCACCATAGATTAGTGTTTTTCTCTTCCAGAAAGTCATACTATTTTCACTCTTTCATGAAAAGCTTCTTTCTCTCAGCACAAAAATTGCAAGATTCACCCATGCTTTTCCTTTCTTCTTTATTGCTGAGCTTTATTCTCTTGCATGAATATACCTCAGCTTGTTTATCAATTCTTCTCTTATTTCCAGTTAGAGCTATTATGTACATGTATTCAAGGGAACACCAAGTTGAAATAGCAAAAAATTAAACCATCAACAATATAAATTATTCAAAAATACTGAACACACACAATCTTAACTTTAAACTAGAATTTCATTGCTTCCTCTTGCATATATTTATTAACAGTATATATTTATTGACACAATATATAAAATAGGGCTTCTATTTGGATAAACAGACTAAGATTCTAGGTAATTAGCACATTATTTCTTACATAAAATGGATACAAAATCATAGAAAACAATTTGTTTTTCCTAAGCCAGCCTGACATTAAAAAGAACAATAATGCACTGTCATCAATTTCTAATTATTGATGTTCCCCTGCAATGTAGATACAAGGTTGCTCTATTCTTTAGTCTAGAAAAGAAATTTCAATACACTGGGTCACAGCTCTTGGTCATATGTGTTTACCAACACTTTTCCTGTGACAAGCAGTGTGACATCTTAGAAAGAGTGCCACACTGGAGGGGTCCAGGCGGAATCCCAGTGCTGTCGCTTGGGGT